TTTTTACCTTCTCGTCCAAGTTGCTGATGAAGATGTTGAACAGTGCGGGCCCGAGGACCGAGCCCTGCAGGACCCTACTGCTCGCATCCGTCCAGGTCAAAAATGACCCATCCACCACCACTCTCTGGGTGCAGCCCTCCAGCCAGTTAGTGACCCTTTTGACTATGTAGGTGTCGACACCACAGTCCCCCAGTTTTTTAATGAGAGTGGTGTGAGAGACAGTGTTAAAGGCCTTCTGAAAGTCCAGAAAGACTATGTCCACTGCTACCTCTGCATCTAAAGATTTGGTGACCTGGTCATAGAAGGCCACCAGGTTGGTTTGACAGGACCTGCCTCTAATGAACCCGTGTTGGTTGCCCCTAAGCATAATCTCCTCTGCCCCAAGCATAATCTCCCTCTCCCAGATCTTCTGGTCTTTGCAACCTCAACTCCTCCCTGTTCTGAGCAATCCCAACTTTGGAATCATTGTGGAGCTGAGTGTACTGCATAGCATGTCTCTTATGTGATCTCCCTGAATCCAGCTTGTTCCTTCCCCCGATAACTTAATTGAATCACGTCTTCTGTTAGAGGATCTACAGAAAAATAGACAGGCTTTACTCCACTTAATTGTGCTATTTTTTTCCAGTAACATGAATTAAAAGGCCGAAGTTCAAAACTTAATCCACATTTGTGAAAAATTATGTATGGTCAAACTTTGCTCTCAGCTATGGAAGTACATCTCCCCTCTCTGTATTCAGTTCTGCCTGGTGGCAATTCTGTCTTCTTTTTGTATGTGTCAGGGCTTTGTTTCTAAATGGTACAACTTGGTCTGGCAGTTACGTACAATAATCAGTTCCTTTTAAGCACAGCCCTACATACACTGACAGGCATGGTTGGCTGTCACAAGTTCTCTATGTTCTTTGCTTTATTAAGCAAAGAGCATGTTAAAATTGGCCAATTTTTTGCTTTTTAACAAAATAAAAATTGTAACAAAATTATATGGGAACAGTATCAGCATCCTGGATTGTATGTGTAATTTATGTAAAAAGTTGAGATTTTAGCAGTATTGTAATATACCTGAATGCTAAAGACTAAAAAAAACCCCTAGATGCATGCAAGCTTGATGATATGCTAATTGTGTTACCACACAAATCCAAAAGTCCAGGGTTGCCTAACTTTAATAGCAGTAATTTTAAGACTTGCTTTTCAAGAAGGGATATTTTGAGCTTTGGGACTTGTATGTCATTAATTGGTAAAAGAAAGTTTTCTGTTTCATTTGGAATGTCTTATTGCTTTACTTGTATGATTGTTTTGTACTTATTTAATTGGGGGTTTTATACTTCAGTTACTATGGAGTAATAAGTAGGTTTTAAAATTCCTTTATGTTGCCTCAAAGTCTTATAGCATACTTCAATGCCTAATTAAGAGTTCACTTGATGCTATATGCCCTGCCTTGTCATTGGAGTCCTAGTTGCACTGGATCTGACACACTGCATTAAAGGGATTCCTCCTGGTATTACATGAAATCTTTGGACCTTTTTCCTTACTGATGTCCATTTCACAATTAGAGTTGTTTATGCACTGGTAATCTGCAACTTTACTAATGTTTGGTGATCATGTAAGACAGTGGTGCTCAACCTTTTTCCCTAGTGGGCCAGATAGGCAGCGCCCTCTCTGTCTGTGAGCTGGATCTTGCTGATGGTTCCAGTCTGGAATGAAGGTCAGTGCAGTGGGCACCACCCAACCACATGGAGGAGGTGGGGCTGGGGAGGGCAAGCAGCCCAGCCTCAACCCAGCCCCAGAGGGGAAGTGGGCATGGCCTGGCCTGGCCTGGCCCTGTGGGGAAAGAGGAGGCATGGCTTGGCCAATGGTGTGGTATCAGGGAGGAGCACGATCCAGGCTCAAGCCAACCCTGTAGGGAGAGGTGACATGGCATGGCTCCATAGAGGAAAGGGGCATGGCTTGGCCCTGGTTTGTTTTTTTTTGGGTGGGACATAGGGGATGAGACACACGGCCCACCCCAAGCTAGCCCTATAGGTTTTCATAATTTTGAATAAACTGAACTTCATGAGTAAAAGATAAATGAAGAAAATAATCTCCCGGAAGCTGTATAGGTATCAGAAACTTGTTCATGGAGATTCCACCAGCTTTTTTTTTTCTTTAGAACACTGGCAGAAAACACAACCTGGCTATGTGTTTACTTTGTTCATTCATTCATTATTTTGGGGAAAAATAGGTTTAGACCTTAACATGTTTTATTTCAGATTTAATGTTAAATATGGTTTTATTATTATTTTTTAAGAAAATGAAATGCAATGTTGTTTTTTTTTAATTACAAAGGGGGGGAGTGGGAACACTGGAAAATAAGAAATAAAATATGTAGTTGCTCATCAGTTGGGTGTCATATGTCTTGCAAACTAAATGAAGCAGGTTTCTGTGGAAAACATTGTGATCATGTAATTAAAGTCTGCATTAAAGTATCACAAAAGGTAGCCAAATCAGGGCTGAATGGCCAGCTTTAATCTTGAATTTCCAAGTGCTTGACTTGGACCTTAATGTTCTGCTAATGAGTTTGTTTTATGTAATTGTATATACTACTCTTACATTTAGTGTTTTATGTCCAGAAATTGGTTTTATACATTACACACGAACTTGTAAATTAAAGGTTGTATACTCTGAATATGGTAAAAACAAAGCAGAAAATGTTTGATCCTTAGGCCTTTTAAATCTAAAGTGATAGACAATATCAACACCCCCTACAACTAACCCATCAGAATACATGGATCCTACACATGCCTTTCCCAAAATGGGATACATCTGATGTAATACACCACATGCCCTAGTGGTAACTGCAGAAGAAACTAGACAGATTGCATGAACCAGAATGAACTCTTGCGGGGCGGGGGGGAAGGACAGAGGTGTGCACATATGCCAATAGGAGCACATTTTTTCCACAGGATAACACCCCCCCATTCTTGCCTAACTAGTATTGTGCTCAAGGGAAATTTACAAACCATTTTTAAAAGGCAGTCTTGGGAGCAAAAAATTACAATCTGCCTGCATGCTAAGGAATGGCCTCAAGTTACAGTAGGGGAAATTTAAGATGGAGATTAGGAGGAACTTTCTGTGTGGGTGGTCGGGTATTGAAATAGGCTACCTAAAGAAGTTGTGGGAATCTCTGTGCTTAGAAACTTTCAAAAGCAGTTTAGACAGACACTTGGCTGAAATGATTTATGCAAGAATGATTGTGCCTTGAGCAGGGGGCTGGACTGCATGACCTTGTGAAGTCCCTTTCAACCATACTTTGCTATGATCCTGTGAGCCAAGGGCTGAGCACTGATATTGACTGCCATACTATAACTTACTTGATTCCTAAAGTTCTTCCTTCACGTTACAGTTGATAATGGTCCCCTTCCATTTTGATAGGTCTTTGATTGTTAACCTTCCTTTCTCTGCTAACTGTCTGTTACCTCTGGAGATTCTCTCTTCAAATTCACAGGCCAACATCATTTTTTAATCATCACTGTGACTGCTTCTTCCTTCAGACCTGATGAAGAATGCTGTGCATTTGAAAGCTTGTCTAACTACGCCATGCATTTGGTTCAGTAAAAGATAAGATTCACAGAAATGTTTCCCTGTGCAAATATCACCCTGTGTCATTTTAATAACCATTTGGTGTTGTGTTATCCCTTCTGAAGGGTTTTATCAGCTGCATGCTGCTGAAAAGAGAAACAGTCTTTCCCCTTCAATAAATGAGGGTTAACAAATATAGTTTATAAAGTACAGATTGTATTTTAAGTAAAATCTGTTAGTAGCAATTGCAGAGATGATAACCACAGGAAGAAATCAATAATACAAGGTGTGAGAAATAAAGAAAACCCTAAAAACCCCGTGTACTTTTTTTCTGAAATCTTTCAAAGCACACACATACTTCTTCAAATCATAGGATCTTACCTTAATTATTCAGAACATGCTAGGCACCAGTGCACAGAGTGAAAAGGGCACAGTGCCTAGCATGCTATGAACTGCATTCAGTCCCTTCTAAGGATAACTGGGCAATATTAACGCTGTTATATGCACACACATTTACACAATTCACAGGATAAATCCAGAGATTTCCAAAATGATTCCATATTGTCAAAAACAATCCAACCTGTTGCGGTCTTTTTGAGTTCTTTGCAATAGAAGAATTGCTCTCTCATGTTTCCATAGTCAAGAAATTAGTGATAAAAAGTTAAGAGCTGACTGGCATTTTCTAAGGGGTGCCTCAAGTCTAACAAGGTTGAGAACCACTGGATTATGTCTACAGTTACAAGTTAATCATAGTAACCAGGCTGGTGTGGGTTTTATTTGTTCTAGTGAGCCTGTCAATGAAGTTATGCAGGTGTATCAGTGATCCACAACCCATGGCCCATGCGCTGGATTGGGCCTGTGATATCTGGGGCTGGCACTATGTGGCAGGGGTCACTGGCAGCTTGCCTGGAGGTGTCACAGCAGGCAGCAGGAGGTCAGGGTTGAACCTGCAGTGCCCCAGTCAGCAGTAGTGACTGGGGGCTGCCAGGAGGCAGGCTGGGTTCATCTGGGCATTGGAGAGTCCAACAGAGCACTGAGAAGGTAGCAGGAGATTTGTAGGACCAGTGCCCAATAAGTTTGTTCTCCCCTCCTTTGCCCCACCCACCATTTTCCAGGGCATCAAGTCGACTTGCCATAGGACTCCATGTTTAATCCGGACATCGGGCCAGTCGTATTCATTTCAGTGGGTGATTGAACTGTTGTTTGGCCTGCCTTTAGGCTGAACTGTGTTAATTGTATCTGCATGTAGTGAAAGGAACTCTGGTGTAGTAGTGATATTGGCAGAGACCCCCAGTATAGACACTGCATGTGCAGACAGAAGTTTTGCTATCAGGGTAACTACTCTTATTTCCCTGAATAACATAAGTTAAGCAGATAGAAACCCTCTTCTCTTGAGTGCTAAATACTACATATTTAGGACATTGCAAACTTTTTATTTTTTTTTTAAGGTAAATCAGATAAATATGATTCCAGGGATGTGGAAAGATTGCAGCAAGATGATCTGTTGGTTGAAAATTACTTGATTTGGCGACATGATGTTGTGGATGATACACTGAAGATGATTGATGAAAGCTTTCAGTGGAGGAAACAATATGCAGTTAACGGTAAGGTGTCATTTATTGTATAATCATATTGATACTATTTTGTCACTTTTTTACTAAGTGATAGCCAGCATTATGTATAGTGTTGCATGTAGCCTATGTAGCTCTACATATATAGTGTTGCATTAAGCCAAGGTAAGTCGAGATGCATTTTATTTTGTCAAGCTGCCATATCAATAACTAATTGTATGCTGTGATTCAGAGTGGAGCTGTGCAGTAACTTAATGGATCAGAAATAATTTGGAAGTTGAAGTGGTTGAATTTATGCACTGCAGCTGTTTTATCAGTCAAGCTGGAGGTTTTGCCATGACTGCTAGCTGTCATGCTGACCAGTATTATTTGTTTCCTTTTATTCCCTTGCTTACATTTATCAGTTTTCCTTGGGTTTAAATTTGTGTTGTGTTTGTATGTTGCTTAGCAAAGCAGACTCCTCCGTGATGGGGTACTTCAGTGATATGTTAATAAAAATAAGTAATATTATAACCATACTGTAGTGTTCAGAGGCTCCAATGAAACGTGGTCTATATTCTTGTGTACTTCATAAAAACAGTGTCTCTGTCCCAAAGACTTAAAGCTAAATAACGAAAAAATGAAAGAGGGTTTTAACAGAGAAAACATTCAGAAGGAAAGGAAGAGCAACCAAATATTTGTACCTCTCTTTTTGCATCCTTGACTCATTCTCCTCTCTTCCTGAATAGAGGCTAAACTTTTTATAGCCTCATTCAAACCAGAATAGAAAAGTGATTAAAGTTTGTAAATTGGTTTTAACACCTCTGTTTTGCAATTAATTTACAAAATAGTCCATTTATGTCTATACCACTCATACAGTTGCTGCTATAAAAGATATCAGCCGCAAGAATTCTTGCCTTTCTCACATCCCCTGGACCATTGCAGCGGCAGCATCACCTGAACACTGCAAAATAAACGTCAATTCTGAAGATGAATTTTCCTGTTCTATTTTAAAATTCTGTATTTTCTAGTAATTTAAAATGGTTAAAACAGACTTTTAGCAACTTATTAAAATAACCCTTCCATTTACTTTGTAGATTTGACTGACTCTGTTCTTCCAAAATGGCTGTTTGACACTGGTGCTCTTTACCTGCATGGATATGATAAAGAGGGCTACAAGTTATGTAAGTTTATCTAATTAAAGTTTTTATTTAAATACTACTCTGCCTTTTTTCTGACTGGAACTAGCTAAAATGTTTCAAAGAAAAGGAGCAGTTACATATACTGGGTTCTACTTTTCAAGTGAATTTGAATGCTTGTTACAAAATAGATGCTTAACAAATGGTGAAATGAATTTTTCTAGTAACACCTATTTTGCTGATTCCAAGAACATTTTACTAGAAAAGAAAAAAAATTTAAAGCAATCATATTTTGCAGCTTAAAATTTGGCTTTGGATATTTGTGAACAAACACTACAATAGGAGAAGCTTATGATTGGGGATTTATCAATTTGCAGCGGCTGCCCCCTAATTTTGCAGGCAGAACATAGGCCTGGGCAGCTACTCTATGGGCAAAGCGCAGTATGCTCCTCTTCCCCCCCCCCCCCCCCCCCCCCCCC